TAGGGGGTGAAGGGAGGGCAGGGGAAGGGGAAATAAAAATAAGAACCAAGATACTCATGTAATGGTACAAGGTCCAATGATTAATGTACCTGTATTTTATACCTGAAATGTACCAATAAAGTTAATGGGCAGGGGGAGATTTGCCTCCTTCTGAATAAGTATGGTGAATTATGTGTACCTCTAGATTGTAGGGAAAAGAACTATAATTTTGCCTAAGATACACTTAGTTCTGCAACTATAACTAAGCCATCACAATTAAAAGGAATATTAATAACCAAATGTACAGTATTTAAAACTAATCAGTAGATATTTCACACCAGATCTTGACACTTCTTATTCTGTGACCTGGTGGAGAAAATGTTTTCAGCTGTTTTCAGTGCTTCTGAGAGAAGTTATCACTCATTTTGCCTTCTTCTTTTTTTTTTTGGCCAACTCAGAAAGATTATTAGAACACTTTTTAAAACGGAAACAGTGCCCACAGCAATGAAAGTTTAAACACCCTAAGAGCGTGTCCAGTCTGCCTACAAGCTCCATTTGCTGCTTTTGAACTCTGCTTTAACAGCCAGGGACTACGCCAAGTGTATGGGACGCAGCTTCGTATCCTCATCAGTAGTAGGAGACTGCGCTGGTCTTTACTCAGCAGGCACAATCAGAGGAGAAAGTGTCCTTTCATTAGGCGATGCTTACTCTCACATCACTGGCTGATGAGTGGCTTTAAGAACACACAGTTCTTTTTTTCCTCTATTCTTTTCTTTAGTAATTCATTAGTCATAAAAATATTCTCTCCATGATTTGCTTTTTGAGACTTTTCCCCTAATAGTTGAGTTTCCCAAGACCTAATTGAGCCATACAAGACCTAAGGGAACGCATCACCTAAAGGGTTATGAGTTCCATCTTTAAGGTCCCCTAAGGGCTCATGTGCTGAATGGCTGGTTACCAGCTTATGGTGCTATTGGGAGTTTGTGCAACCTTCAGGGTCAGTGGAAGCAAAGTCCCTGGGGAGGGACATGCCTTTGCGGGAGATTCTGAATCCCTGGCTCCTTCTTGTTCACTGCTTCCCTGCTGCCAGGAGGTGAGCCCCTTTGCTCTATCATGTGCTTACTGCTATGATGTTCTGTCTTGCTTCAGGCCCCAAAATAATGGAACCAGTTGATCATGGATGGAAACTTCTGAAATCATAAGCCTAAATACATCTTTTCTTCTTGTATATTGATTTTTTCCAGGATTTTGTCACAGTGACAGCAAGCTAACACAAACAGTAGTCATATTCACCATGATGGCCATTCATTGAATTTTACCATGTATAACAAAGCATTGCATTCAACAAATCACATATATTATCTCACTTAATCTCTGGGCAGTATTATCACCACTTGAGAGAAGAGGAAAAATAAGGCTTAGAGATATTAAAAACATCCAAAGAGAAACTCAGAATAGGACCGTGAGTCCTGAATTTTCTTTTTTCATGTAAGAGATGAGGAATGTTTAGAATTTATTTTTCTCATACATTCTTAATGTATTAAACCCAAGTCCCTAGTAGGGAGGGTGGACAGGATCAAAGCACATTATATGCATATATGCAGATGTCATCAGGAAAGCCATTCATTATTGCAATTAACATACGCTAATAATTATAGTAAGAATAAAGAAGAGCTATGAGTGGAAAGTATCTCACTAGTTCCTGCCTTCTCCTGAAAACAAAACAACAAAAACAAATCCAAATCTTTGTTTGCAATAGCCCATATACTACTAGGATTTGACAATAAAATGGTATGATATAATTTTTGCTACAACTTTAAGAAAATATTGTGTCATTAACAGAGATTAAACTATTTGAATACGTTATAGTACTTTCTTAGAGGGCACTGTCAAATACATTGAGTTTATGATATTTCAACCTCTGGTATTCTTGAAAATGTTTGGAATATTTTACCAGAAACTGGTATTCTTTTCACTTTACCTTTAATTGAAAAACTGAAACAATCATGCCGACACCTTCCCTTTTCCTTCAAGCTCAAAATCTCATATTTTCATGAATATTGTCACCAGTGGAGAGAAACAGACGTACTGCACCCAGTTGATGTGCCTGGAATGCTGGGATCCTCTCTTCCACTGTCCTTACTTCCAGAGGAGGGAGCCAACTTGTCCAGTCTCACCTAGAGTGTTAGGCAGACCTGAGCCTCAACCTCAAATCTCCTATTCAATCTGCGCTGACTTTCTGTCTTCATGATCACAATTCTGGGGACTTCTAAAATCACAGCACCTGTTTTCACTATCAGAATTTATAAGCATAATTCCTTCTATTCTTCAAGAATAACCAACAAACATTTCCAGGGCACTTTCTTTGTGCAAGAGTTGCGGGCACTGGGAATAGAATGTTGAACCAGACTGGAAAAGTTTACTTCCTGATAGTGCTTAATTCTAGCAGGGAGGGCAGATGGTGAACTAGCAAGTTAATGAATGAACACAGCATTATCCCACTACAAATGCTGAGAAACAAAATCACTGTGATAGGCAGTGGAGATATGACTTGCAGAGTTTGGCCTGAACTTCTAGGTGGGAAGGAGTGAGGCAGGAAAAGAGGAGAGTCTACAGCTGGTCTTGAGAAACACTGTCCCTTACAATTTTACTCAGATGACAAGCTATGCTAACATAGCACTTGAAATGACAGTAGCAGGCCGTCTGAGATTAGATGCTGTTCACTGTCTCATGGCAGCTCACAAGATCTTTGCAGGAGGGGAAAAACAGCAAAAGCATCAAGGAATTTGGAGGTACTGATTGAAATTTTAAAGAATAAATAAAATTGAAATAAGCAGAGACAGGAGAAGGTATTTCAAGCGTTACTAAGAGCATCCACAAGAGCTAAGAAATATATTTTAAGACTAATAATGGATTAAATACTTTGAGATATAGTGTTTGAATGCAGGGAATAATGAAAAATAAAGCTAGGTAAGGAGCTAATAGCCAGATTGTATTGAATCTTGAATGCTAAAGACTTTGGCCTTTTAAATAATGGGAAGCCAATGAGCTGGGTTAATGGTAATCTTCAGGGAATGATTAAAATATGGCAATAGCATGTAGGGTCAATTGATCCTTTAAGGGGAGAAGGTTAGGGTATATGAGATTTTCACTCTTTTTTTTTATTGACTATGACATTAAGGAATAGGAAATTTGGAATTAAACTGGTTTTCCATAGACAGAAAAATAATTTTAATGCAGTAATTATTTGTTCTTGAATGAATTTCAGTCTATGAAAAGCTCTTTTTTTCTACTAAAGAGATTCCAGATGGTGATAGATAGATAGATAATTGGAAAGCAGAATAATGTCAATTAAAATGACCTTGTATGGCCCACTACTTTTCCAGATGGTGACAGACTTCCTACCCATTCGATGCCCTTTAAGCCAGGAACCTATATACTTGTGGGTTTCAGTTTGGTGATTTATATGTCTTTTCCTATGATGTTATTTATCTTTTAATGGTTTCTCTATTTGTCACAGGAGCTGTTGGTCTCACTTGCCTAGGGTTAGTTGTATTTAACTGGAAACTCCGACAAGGCAAACCAAATGAACACACATCAGAAAACCTTTGTTGCAGAACCTTCAATGAATCCCTGTGTGCTCATGAGGCAAGAAATTACCTCGCTAAAGGATACTGTAACTGCCACTTAACTCAGGAAAACGAGATAAAGGTCATGTCCACTGTGGGGCCCGGAAAGGAAATGCCACTTTTACAGGAAAACAGCCATCAAGCAACACTGGCCTCTGAGTCCACAGCCCCTGATGCATCATTTAGAAACCTGAAAGGAAAAGACAGTGTAGACAGTGCTTTCTTCTGCCTGGATCGTAGACTCCTGCAGTCAGGCTGCTCAGAGCCTCCTGGGAAAAGGGAAGCTTGTAACGATGTAGCTTCACTTACAAAATATTGTCCAAAGAGTGTTGAAAAGTTAAGGAGTCTTAAGCTTGAAGAAGCCCAATCTCAAGCCCTGTCACAACTTGTAACAAGAACAACAGGTGAGTCTCTCTTGGTTCAGAAAAGCCTGCTCTTTTTAATTCCTTCTGAAGGAGGGAACCTCTTTAATTTCCTCAACAAAGAAGTGCTGCAAAAAATCATGAAAGCTCCACTCTGTTCCTCTTCTGAAGATCTAAAGATTGTGTGTGTGTGTGTGTGCGTGTGCATGTGCGTGTGTCTGTGTTGAGGTATAGATGGTGTGTCCCTACCCTCAGGAGTTGAAAGTACATCTCCTGTCTACTGAAAGAGAATTTTGAGGCCCAACACCTAACAGTGTTAAAAAAAAGAAAAACGAAGCCTTTTAAATAGCAATATTGCTGTGAAGATTTATGGGAAGGTGAGTATCAGCTTTCATTCCAACATCCTTCTAGCACTAATGCCAATTCTGCAGTAAGCAACCTTCCCAGAGCATGACACGTTAGAAGAATGGGCCTTCTAGTGCTCGTGATTCATTTCAGGAATGATGTCAAGAAACATTCTTTGCTTGCTGAGCTGTCAAGGATGATAACTTCCCGGTTCAGGGAAAGTCAAGACTTAATTCATTGTCTCATGTTGGGAGCCAAGTGAATCTGGCCGTGACATCTACCCACTGTACATGGGCGATGTCAATATTTAGGTGGAAGCAATGAATTAAATGTCTTCCTTTCTCTTCCTGCTTAGTAAGCCAATGCTCTCAGGTTCAGCAGGGAAAACTTTGACAGCTGCTCTGTAAAGAGGTCCCTGTCACTTATTTGAATTGGTTTACAACACACAGTGCTTTCTCTCAGAATAGGAATGACAAGGGTGCTGTATCAAGGAATTCTTACCATGGGGGATCTGGCCCTAAGGATGGATTGGGGGGTACCTGGATAGGAATGAAACTGTTATTTTGTATGTGGCATAAGGCAGGATGTGAATTTGTTTAATTGTATTCCTCATGCTCCAGTACTTGCCAGTTCTGGGGGCTGACAATTCGACTAAAGAGAGAGATGGTCAAAGAAAGAAACATCTGCCATAAACTCAGAAAGGACTGGTTTTATCTTATAAAGAAATAAGCACTTAGCCTTTCACAAGAATCCTATCTTAGGCAGATATTTCATTATAGCTTTTAGCTCTGTTCAATGCTTTAAGTTCTCATATGAAACTTATACCCCAAAGAGAATGTGATCTCTTAACTATTTCAAAACCAGTCTTTTGTTTCATGCAGATGCCAGTGGTTTGTCAGAGTGATACAATTACTGTTCAAAACACCTGAAATTCTGCTATATGTTGAGGATTGCACTGGAGCTTGAAAGGGCATGTATTTGAGAAGAAAACAGCCAAGGGCACGCTTCTGTCTTGAACAGAAGTCAATAGGAAGTGATGTCAGTATGCTTATGCCTTATAACTTGGAAGTACAGAATTATAGACTTGCAAGGTAGAGGGGGCTTTAAAGGTGATCTATTTTAATAGTTCTTATTATTTATCTTTGATTTCCAGAACTCTGAGAATCAGATAAAGGGCTCTCATTCCTCAGTATGATTTGCACACTTGAATAAAGTTTCCATTTAGTCTGACCTTCTAATACCCAGAGAGTAAGTAGTTTCTTGAGGGTCACCCAGAAAGTTGGTAGAAAGATCTTAGATTACATATTTTTCTCACAGAATTGAAATACTTCCATTGTCTTCTGAATAAAACAATTTTATGAAACAGGAGAGAGTACAATGATAAGATGTAATTTTCATCTTAGTATTCATTCTGGTTAAGAGGACAGAATTGAAAGTCAGACAGACCTGGGTTGAAGCCCTGGCCATATTATTCAGTGGATATACAATTAGAAGAAAACAGGAACCTCTCTACACTTATTTCTTCATCTGTAAAAATTACCATAATAAGGCTTTTCCAATGGATTATGGGTCTTATAAATCAAATAAGATGATGGATATTTAAGATTTAGTGTAATGCTTAGCTCTTAGTATGTGGTGTATGAATATTATTGTTACCTTGTTATTTGCATTATTTAACATATACCTTTAATCTTACATTTACTTATGCTATTTCATAGTCCCAAGCAGAAATTGGTGCAACACAAATCAGCCCATATTCTAAACCTATGCATTTAACAAATACTTAATGAACATTGTATTAAGTTATAGGAAATAAAAAAGACACATGTTTTCACTGAATCAGTAAGTATTTTTCTTTTATTGTTATTTCTATTTGAAACTTGAACATTATTAAATATTGTCCCCATGTTCTTGCCAGTATTTGAGCTCCAAATAGGAAAAGAATGCAAAGACTTACTATGTCATTTGAAAAAGACTCAGATAGTGTTTATCTTTAAGGTCATCCTACCCAACAGCTAAGCTAAAGATGTACAGCTATGAACAACATTTATATTTCTAATTCTATAACTTTTAAGTCAGCATGGCAGCTGACTGAAATGTGGTCATAGAGTGTGCCATTGTAAACATACCAAACTGCCAAGTCTCTTTCATGAATTGGCGAAAAATTAGCAAATATTCAAGAATTGCCATAATCAGAGGAGCCATTTTTATATTTTTCATAAGGTTCCTAAGCATCTGTTGGTTGGTGTAATAAAATCCTGCCCAGTGCTAAATTCCTGCATTTATTCTTCAGCAGATATCAGCAGTAACACATTTAGAAGATATGCAACATCCGCTTCAGCTTTGGCAAGAGAAAATCTTGAAAAGCATTTAACAAATGAATCATGGCAGCCTCCAATAGAAAAAGAAGACAATGGTGTACAACCTCACAGGCAGAGACATTTTATTACAAGCTCAAAAGCCAAGCCTTGTGAGCCCGAGGAACACTATGTACAAAAGATCTTATACAAACATAGATCAAAATATGATGATTCTCGTGGACTGTTAAAATGGAACAAGACTAGATATTTTCAGCCAAACAATGCCCTTTCTTGTAAATATGTGCTCTGTGATCAATTGCAAGATTATGTAAAAGAAATAAAGCTAAATCGTAGCAAACCTTCGAAGTCTGAGGAAGAACAAATTCAAATTAATAGTGCAATAGAAAAATTCCTTAAGAATGAAGATAATATAGATTTTTCAAGGCTATCAACGAAAATCAAGAAAACATATTCCCCAAAGAAGGCTAATTTCTATGATCCTGATGTAATAGGAAAAAAGAGATTGGTTATATCACTCAAAACATCAACCTACTGGAAACAGCAAGAAAGTCATGGTAAGCAACTCATCAACTTGGATCTCAAAAAATGTAGCAAACTTGGGGACAAAAACAAAGGAGGAAAATGGTTTACTAATCCAAAGATTCTGAAAAAGAAGAGAATCAAGGAACCTGATCTCAAAGGGAAAATTAAAGGACAAAATTTAAGGTTGAAATTAAATTTACACCCTTTTAGAAAAGTCAGAGTCCATCCAGAAAAGTCCTTACCAGAGCTCCCAAGGAAACATAAACAAGTATTAGTACCTCCTAAAATATTATCTAAAACTTCTGAGAAAAAAACCAAAATAAACCTTGTGTCTTCTGCAGATTTCCCTCTACAGACAGAGAGTAACAACGGTGTTAAACTCACTTCAAAAAGGCTGCTTCTCCAACATCCCTCAAAGCAGACCAGGTTTCACAAAAGGAACAGTAAAAGTGCTCCTCCCGTCAGGGCTAAGACATTGTCTGCAGGCAGCCAGAGCTCTGTGAAGGACTACCCCTACCCACCTGGTCTTTTTCCTAATGCAGACTCAACCACGTCACCCCAGCCTATACTCGGAGACGCTGAAGACAACCCCTCACACTCTCATTTCTCAGCTGAGCCACAGAAAGGTGCAACTCAGCTCCAAGTGGACGCTCCTCATTATTTACCAGATACTTTGGAAAATGCAAGAAGTTACATTTCACCATCTCAACCTTCCAGTGGGATTGACCTCAAGGCAACAGGGCCCACTGAGCACATGGAGCAAAACGAATCAAAGACCAGTGAACTAAACCATTTTTCTCTGTCCCTAAGAAGCCAAACACAAATATTAGATGTCCACAAGACTGACACCTACAACAAGGAACACCTTTTAGATCAAAATCAAGTTTTACAACATAAAGAACAAAACTCTTGTCATGAACAACTTGGAAACAAAACAAAACTATTAATGACAATGTCCAAAATGTCACATCCACTTTTGGAAAGTTACATTATGGATCATGAAGGAAATAAAGTAGGAACAAATCTTCCTAACACAGAGACTCATGATTCCTTGCTCATTCCCTGGACACAGTCCAAGAACAACCTACCATTTATGATGACAGATCCTATTCCACACCAAAATACAATGGAGCTTCCCAAGGAAATCAGTACTTCTCCTCTCGGTGGCCAAGCCATCTGGCATCTAACCAACAGTAGCACAAAAGGAATTGACAGAACAAATACATTGCCGAGAAAGGATGGCACTGAAGACCTAGAGACAAAAATAGTAGAAAGAGAAGAAGAAAATATACTCACTGAAAGCGAGACAAATTCTAGTATGTTGATTTGGACTACTCAAATGACCTTGAAAGGCACCACAAAAGAAAAGCAGGAAACTCAGGAAAATGGAAGAAGTGTGAAACCTGTATTACATGATTCAAGCTCTGTCAAGGAGGCCATTACAGTTAAGGATTTGAGTATTACAAGTTCCCATGAAACCAGAAATGGAATACCTTCTAATGAAACAGATCCTGAGAGTAACAGTAATATGTATGATTTGAAAGAAATTCAAAATTTTCAACCAGATAAAGATAACAGAGGACACAGAGATGGCACAATGAGAGTGGAGACAGATGACGATTAAAAGATATTCATTTTATGGCAGAAAATGAGGTATCTCTAATTCCTAATAAAATAAATGAAGCTGAAAACTCTCCCCCAAAACCTGTACTCTATCCACCATCTGCTGAATATGCTAATACAACACCTTTAGAAGCAGAACTTAGGGAACAAAATAACTCAAATAATAATTTTCTACTTTAGCTCCCTTCAAAAAGGACAGATACTACATAGCCTTTACATATATTTTTAATCCATTATTTTGGAGAACAAATCTTCGGTAGCTCTTCATCATCAATAAAAAAGAAATTCACAAAAATCAAAGATGGGGGCACAGGATATATTTGATACAACTAACTGAACATACTTCTTGAAGACATAAAAAAATGAGAAAGAAGTAGTATCTAGTGCTAGAAACATTTAAAAAGAGGGAAGGCAGTGCTCAAAGAAATAAAGGATTAAATATGAAAAAAGGATTTAAGTAGATTTACATGGAATGTTTATTTCATAGAAATTGCTATACATATTTCAATTAGTAGTATTACAATATTGCTGTTTTATACAAATGATTATATATTTGTATTTATACCTCATCTGTTTTCCTAAATTATTGTATGAAAATAAAAATTCAGCCTTGTTTGTTAATTCTAGTTTAGCTAGTATGCATATTGGTATATTCATCCATTTGTAAGTATTATGTTGATAATTACCCTAGATCTTAAGTAGAAATCTTTAAAACCTTTCATTTTTCTGAGAGAGAGAGAGAGAAACAGAGAAACAGGGGGAGAGAGAGAGGGAGAGAAGGAAATTTACAGGGATGCAAGTTATTTTTATAAAATCTGCAAAATCCTATAAATCCTCTAGGTGGAGATCTCAGCTTCATTCATTTTAGACAAAACAGGGTTTCAGGATCAACACAATAGATCTCAAACAAAAGGAATTTTAAAGAGCTTCACTGCCAATTGTTATTAATTTAAGAGTTTCAAAAACTAAATAACCCACTAGCATGTAGCTTTCAAAGTTTGATTTCTCAAGTTTAGCATGCCACTGTTGTTTAATGTGAGTAGTCCTCTTGTCCACAGGAATTAAATATGCTTATAAATATTTGATTTAAAAGCAATAGGACAATAAACATTTTTCATTCAAAGTTATATTTATTTGAAAAATATAAGTATACTTGAGCAATTTTATCATTGATACCATAGTATAATGTTTAAAACATACATTTACAGTATAGTTTCCTAGTAGAGGGGAAAGGGCAAAGAGAAAACAAACTTTCTCTTCTCCTATTTGTCTCTCTATTTATATCTACATTTGGTATTATAATGCATAAAAAATTACTAGAGTAATGTACAAGCAAAATATTGCTTACACACCCCACCTAGTTTCCTTTCCCCCTTCCTATTCAGAGTTGCCAGTGAAGGATGTAACATTCTCATTTTGAAAGTCTTTAATCTTCTTTCTCTTTCTTACTAAGATTTCGAATTCTGTGACTTTTCACTTCTGCTCCTGCCCCTACTATTTTTATTCGGCCTCTCTGCCTGAGCTTACTTCTTCTGCCATCTGCCTGCCTCTCTGGCTCCCACTTCCTCCTGATAAGCACCTTTATGGAGAGTGGAGTGACTATGCCAACTTCTGGCATGATAATTTTATTCTAATTGACAGCTCCCTCCGCTCTGCAGATCAGGTTACTTTCCACCCTGTAGCTATCTTTCCTTCTCCTTTTCCCAGTTTTATCTTTAAAGTGCTGGCTCTTCACTGCAGAGTCCTTAGCTCTGTTCTTCCTCCTCACTGCCAACAGTATCCCTGGAACGTAAAGGTCACTGGCTGACTCTCAGAATGCAGCAATGACAGTTCTCCTGGGCACCTCCCTTGTTTTCATTTCTGAAATCCAGTGCTTTACCTCCTTCTAATGCTCCTTCTGAAACAGTTCCAGGTTTACCCTTGCCCCTGGGTCTCCATGGCAGCCACTGTAGTCCTGGTGTACACAAGTGGATTACTGTAACAGTAGCCCAGCTGGCTGATCTGGCTTCAGTATCCTTTGCTCCAGTTCGAGCCCACTAGTTCTCTGTCTTTATTGTGCACATATTAATAAAGTTCCTGTTGAAATGCATAATCTCCAGGCCCATCCTAGAGATTTACATTCAGTAGATTCAGGGTAGGGCCCCAGACTTATTGCTTTAACACACACTCCAGGGTAATCTAGAGCAGGTAGTTGGCAGCCCACACATTAAGAAACAATGCTTAGCTATTATAAAGAAAATTAGAAGATAATTCAGCACTTGTTTCTTTATAGTACCTACATGTAATTGTTTAAGTAAATAAATTCTCCATACCCACCTCAAATAAATTTTCCAGACATTATTTTTATCATAGTTTTTCCACTGCTTTAGAGACAAACATGAAATTTTGTATAATTTCATGTCCAAATTCTCTATTCTGTTTCCCAAGATTTTCCAATATCCGATACTATCAGGACTCTTTCCCACCTCCCACTGTTTCCCAACTTTTTCTCATCTGCAATACACTGAGATTCTTACCATCCTCTATGTGCTATGTTCAAGTCTAAAAATATTTTATTAGAGCCTATTTATGTTTCAAAATATTGGGTTTCTATGTGGCAAGTTCATACATGCATTTAACTTTTGATCATGTTTATTCCCCATATTACATGTTTGAGTCTCAACTAAGAAGACACTCATAGGAGAATATACTGTGCTTCAAATGCAAGCAATAAGAAAAGATAGATATGAAAAAATGATTAGTTAGGTTGACAACCTACATAGTAATGAACAGCAAAGCATGATGTTAGTGTCTTAGATCTAAAGATGGACTTATTTCAAATGAGGCCTAGCATAGAGATTGAACCACCAGTGACCACAATGTTCAGCTACTACTAAGCTCCCTTTTCTTTTCTCCCAATGAATTTGCACATATTTTTTTCACTTGAAGAATTTTACACGCACACATCTTTCATTCAGCAACCTCCTCTTTATGGCTTTTGATCTCAGATCACTTCCGTGAAGACTTTTCTAACCTACACTATCTCTTTTCTTCCAACTTCCTGGTACCCTTTAGTATACATTCTCCTCAAACCTTGTTTCCCTTAATCCTGGCTTCTAGCTATAGAATCAGTAAGATGCTTATTCAATTAATCTCTATATGACTATGAAGCTTGGAGCTCCATGAAGAACACATCTCCATCGAATCTCCAGTCTCTATCCTTGGACAGCATATGGTAGGACTTCAATAAATTATTTGTTGAAGGAAAAGAACGAATAGTTCATCGTTCCATTTTTGTCATCATTTAGCCTACTAACATGATAAGAACATTCTGAGCAATGTGATGACCACAGAAGCAGCTCAACTTCCTAATCCTAGAATGGATATGAAGGCCAAGCTGACTCAACTGACTGAGAAGCCCAGATATCGTCAGTCAGCTGAAGACTGCTCTCTTCGTAAGCTTTTTCTCCATCTTCCTTCCTAAATCTCATTGCTAGAGCCTAGACTCTGCTGCTAAAATTCAGTGCTTAGCAGTACAACTTTTTCACTAAGTAACTGATTTTGAATCATATATAAGTAATTGATTTTGCATCATATATAATACATATCATATATATTGAATAGTGCCATCCTTTGTCCCTAGTCTAGTTTTCATTCTCATTCTTGATATTTTGCTTGAGGCATACATTGTACCCTCCAAATGCTCTTAGAACCTGTCAGTTATTTGCTTTTATCTCCATATTAACATTTCCTCATGTGCCTTACCTATCATCAGTTAATAAAAGCAAAAGAGATTTTCTTGATTGTTATTTGATGTTAAACTTTTGCACAACTCACTTCCTACAGAGAGAAGGGAATTCTGCAGTAGGTAATTGGCATATTTACCCTCCAAAAATATGCCTGAGGTTCATTGTGAAACATAAGGAAATGGTTTCCTAAATTTTTTTAAGTCATGTAACTTTCAAGATAAAATTTTCTATACATCCAAATAAAGATGTGGGATTCAAGGCATTAATAAGCAGCAGTGGTATTCATTTATTTACTTAACAAATACTTTTTAGCATCTAATAGGTATAGCTGTAAACAGTGGGGTTACAGCAATGAATAAAACAAAAGCAAAAATTCTGCTTTTATGGAGCTAATGTTCTGGTAATGACAAGATCTTAAACAAGTAAACATAACATTTCAGACTGAATGGTTAGAAGAAGTTATCTTTTGAGATACTCCATCCATATCCCATAAGAATCTTCATTTTTCTTCATAAGAGTTTCTGTGTACACCAGCGGGGTCGGTCTGGACTTTGCCTTTAGAGAAAGAATGAGAAATGTGCTTTCTCTTTTCAAATATCTGGACCAGGGTTTATTTGGTTTTTCCTTATGGAGATATTATTTGAAATAATAATACACTCACTTTATCTGCTGTCTTGTTGAAGAGAGATAAAGTATCTAGGAAGGACAAGAATCATGGATATACAAGAAAGGGGCAGCAATCATTAGGAAGGCCTAGGCTGGGCTCCTGTGGACCATTAGGCCTTGCTTTACATATGAGGATCTCCAGTGTGAAGAAGGCAAAGTCATGTGCTCCACTCAGAGGAGAAGAATGGAGGAATGGATTTCAAAACACAAGGATGTCAACCAACAAGACAGAGAGATACCAAGACTGTGATACCAAGCAAAGTTGTGGAGTCTCCTCTGCCACTCTTGGAGAACACGGTAGACATCAACTGGTCTGATACATGTGAAAAGAATTTCCCAGAGACAGATGGACTGAGATTTCAATATGGTATTATATGACTGCTCTTCTACTCTTTCAGATCTAATACAATACTTCCAATGTTCTTTCTGCTGTTTACATATCCTATTTTATTTGTATTTATTTCTCCCATAACATGATCTCTCCATTTGTACTTAAAGCCTATGCTGTTAGCCACATCATCACATAGTCACACAAAGGCTTAGAAGGGAACTAGGACACAGGTCTTCTGATTCCTTCTTCAGCCAGTGCCACTGAAGACCACTGGCATCTCTGAGTGAAGGCCTGCCTCTTGTTAAAACCCAATACAAATCCATTTTATGCCAAATTTCTTCCTTTAGAAAATGACTAAGTGTGGCTTAATTGTAGTTAATAAAATTACAGCTGAGATGAGACTGTGAGTCACTGTCATACCCTGGTTTCTTTTTCATGAATCAGTGGTGAGAAAC